ATTTGCTAATACTAGAGATTGAAAATTTTGCTATAGATTGTCAATAAATGAATGAGTAGTTACACACAAAAAAAATAAAATCATTAATTTAAAAATTAAGGCATAAAATCAATAGGTTGGTAAAGCAAATACTAAATACAAAAAGTCACTATTATGCAGAGGAAAAACACAAATATACAATGTCATGGAAAAGGAATGGTAAATAACCAGAAATACAGACCAAACCAAAACCAAACTCACTGCTGTCGAGTCAGATCTGACTCCTAGCAACCCCTCCTTGGGTTTCCGAGGTGTTATCATTACAGAAGTATATTGTCCAAACTTCCTTCCAAGGAGTGGCTGGTGAGTAGGAACTGCCAGCCTTTTGGTTAGCAGTCAAATGCTTTAGGCACTAAGCTACCAGAGCTCCCAGAAATATAGAGAAAATTAAAATAATTCCTTCATAGGAAAATATAAACTACCAAATTTGACTCATAATTGATCAAAGTATTTTGCCAAGAGTATGAAAGAAAAAATTAGTACCCACGTATATAAAATACTTGGAAGGAAGGTTGGGCAGTCTACTTCCATAGTGATACCACCTCAGAAACCCAAGGAGGGGTCGCTATGAGTTGGGTCTGACTTGATGACACATAACAACAACAACAATATAAAATACAGCATACAAACATACAATGAAGTGTAACTACTGAAAGATAGCACATACATGTTGTCAATGAATATGTGCAAGACAACAAATATATAAACAAAGGTTCCTACTGGATGATAAGGAAAGTAGAGGACATGCATATTAAATAACAGGGGCAGTGTATCACTTAGATAAAAATAGTGGATAAGTGCACCCATCTGAGAATGTCCTGGTGTGTATAAAGACATTTAGGCACACAGTACAGTTTATGACTGTAAGTGGAGCAAGACATCTTGGAGGATGGTCATTAAGTGTCAACAATGCTCATGTCTAAATGGTGATATTGGTATCTGAAAACTTTCTTTTCCAAGTATGTTTCCTTTATTTAAAATGATTGGCAAGATTACAAAATTTGATAAATACCCAATGTTGAAAGTTCTAGCAAAAGGCCATTTTCATACATACTGACTGGGAATATGTATTGATAAAGTTTCTGAAGGACATTTCAGCTATTTACCATAAGTCACAAAAATATTCTCTTTAGACAATTTTTTCTAAGTCTATGAATCGTCCCTAAGGGGAAAAAGGAAAACACAGATAGGCACAAAGATTCGAGCACAAATGTTTATCGAAATATTTTTTACAGTATCATCTACCTAAAAATGGAGAATAGGGTAAATAAAATGATCAGATATACATAACACAATACAAGGCATCTAATAAAAACATGGAGCTCTGGTGGCGCAGTGCCTAAGGCATTTGAGTGCTAACCAGAAGACTGGTGATTCAAACCCACCAGCCACTCCTCAGAAGGAAGATTAGGCAATTTACTTCCATAGAGATACTGCCTCAGAAACCCAAGGAGGGGTTACTATGAGTCGAATCAACTTGACGGCAGTGATACCTTAGGCAAATCATTGACATTTTTAAAATAATATATATATTGCAGGGAGAAAAGAAACTTCTAAAATTAGATTATGTCATCCTAATTTAGTTCTATATTTAGAACAAAGCTAAGAATAAACATACCTACTTCACAGTGGTTTTCTCCCAGGCTAAATTAAGGACCCTTATTTTATGCTATCAAGGAAACACGACCTGGGGTCAGAGAAGGCATCATCGGAAGAAGAGTATGAATGGAAAAAACTAAATAAAGGTCTAGGAAGGGATTACCACCTTAGTGTTTATCATTTCCCTAAAATTAAAACTTTTTTACAATTAAAATTCAGTTGAAAGAGTGGAAAAATTAGTTTTAAAACAGTATTTGGAAAGGGTTAAGGATGTTTACTTTTGCCAATCAGCAGGGGGCACTCCAATCAAGGATATCATTTAAACTCTCACAGGCTGTAAACTCAGAAGACTGGGCAATTTACTTCGGTAGAAATACTGCCTCACTCGACAGCAGTGAGTTTGGTTTTTGTTGAGTTTTATTGTCTAGATCCCCACATTTTGTAGATATGGACAAATGATTACCATCACACCACTACCACATTTCATAAACACTGCATGTTGTCATGTTTTTCTCCTAATCATGCATGATAAGCAGGCTCAATGTTAAGAACTAAAACTTCCAATCTTCTGAAGAATAGTAAGCTACCACTAAAAAGCAGAAAGTATTTCATATACTTACCTTATTCAAACTTTAATTATTACCAAAAATCTATGAGGTAGATATGCTATCCGCACCTTATAGATGAGGAAATTGAATTTCAGCAGGTGAAACAATATGCCCGGGGGATGGACTTAGGATCCATATCCAGCTTCATCTGAATCTGAAGCCTGTGCCTTTTCAGGGCCCCAAAATCCCCAGAGGTTGTAACTCAGAAAAAGGAAGTCATCTAGCCAAGTCTTATTGGCAACTGGCCAATAAAAAGGCCTAGAGCCTTGTAACATTTTATCTAATGTGTTTCTCACCATACCATGAAACGTCTATAAAAATCAAGTATACTTTCTTCCATGAGGAGCTTATAACGCATATTCCTATTAGATCTTAACGTCATAGGGAGGCTAAATTCTATACAAGGGAAAGGAAAAACTAAGGATATACAACTAGATTAAATTATGGAGAGGAGTTAAAAAATCTGATAATAAAGAGTAAAGGAGTAACAGTTAATAGTTTCCCAAAGTAATTTATATTATCCCAGAGTTATATTTGTAATATTAGAATAAATACTATTTTTAATTCTTTTTTTAAAATTTACAAGTAAGATTCCTACACAATTGTCTATGACACAATGCCATCATTACTTCAGTATAACTTATGATAATTATTTAGGAATCTGCTTTTGATAAATATGTATGTTGTGACTACTTAATAAAATCATGAAAAGTAATTTTTTAAAAAACAAAAATGTTACTTACATATCCCAGTTTGGTGCTATTCGCAAATGCTGGATTAGCAATTGGAACTAGAATAAAAAATTAAAATGGACATTTCATCCATGGAATAACAGAGAGGACCACTCAGTTAACAAGTCAGACCTTTCACACACTTAAATGTGACTCTTGCACCAAGGAGATAATTACTGACAAAAATGCAAATAGCACTGAAAAGCTAAAAATTTAAACTAAGAACAGAGCTTTCAGTTTCTTCTACCCATATATATTCTCTAAATGCCTCTTCCATCCCAGACACACACCCGCTACCAAAAGATAACTTCCATACTATCCTGCAAGCAAGTAAACTTAAATTTTTTCAAGCTAGTTTCCAAGCGAGGGATTACTGTGAAAAAAAAACACCTCTAGACCACTACAGTTCTTTCCTGATGACTTCAAAAATTCTGCCAAATTCCCATGATTTTACCAATGAATCAAGACAGTCTAGGAAGTTATATTCTCAGAGGAAAAAGAAAAAAAAAATGTCATAGAGACTCACACCACCCCCCATATCACATCAGAAACATTGACCTTTACGAGATTGGCCCAGTTAAGGAAGCCCACTCCACAGCTCACTCCAGGAGCTGATGAAAAGTCTGTATTGTGACTTCAAATATGAAATCTTATAGTTATGACAAGTTAACATAGAATGCAAATCTGAGTATTCAAAAAAAAAGGTCCAAAATCACTGTCCACTCAACTGCTTTTTTAGTCCTAACAATCAAACAAAGATTAATTTTGGTAAACCTATAATTTTGATAAATCACTATTTTTTTCACTATAATTCTATCAAATTACCATTTTAGCACTTGTCTTAATCTCTATAGAGATGCAAAAATTAAGGGCACAGGTATGTTGCAAGGGCCATGGTAAAGTTTTTCTTCACAACTTGACTACCTACCAGTGGGGAGTGGAGGAGCCTGGTGGCCACCTCCTTGTGACCAGCCACCACACACAAATAGCAAAGGAGATTGAGCTTGGCCCGAGAGGCCCCGGTACCCTTCTCAGTGGAGTCGATCTGTGAGCACACTTGTTGCAAAAAGTCATTCCAATCTTGGTCTTTCAGAAATACTAACTTATCCACTGCAGAGGTAAGAAAATAATAAAAGTGCATTATATAAAAAGGATTGGCAAAAACATCACAAGAGCAATAAAATGCAGCACAGAATATCAACAGCTAGAGACCCTCCTAACTTGACACTGTCAAAATCAAAAAATACTCCAAAGATGACACCAGTTTTATTCATACTTCTACACTCATTTCTTTTTCTACCCATGGAGTTTTTTAATTACTTCAAGAGAAAACCATACTGAAAAAAGAAGGCAAGTTTCTAAGTAAAAATTATCCTGCAACCTAGAATATAATAAAATGCGAAGTTAGATTATATTGCAAGAATACAAGATAATACTTCTGTAAATAAAGCAACTTGGCTAAAAATACTGGAAAAGCCAAAGATTCTACAGTTGTTAAAAGATTAAAATGAGATACCACTAAGCATCACCAGGTTATGTTATAATGTCTTAATCATCTGGAATCCCTATTTCCAAACCTCTACATAAACAAAAGGCAAAAGCAGGGCAAATTAGATGGCATCCACTGTCAATGTATTTTAGCCAATCTCAGTCTTTAAGCAAAATTATAGTAATAATTTCCTAAATAATTCAAAGTAAAGAGAATAAAGAATTATATTGGTGTTGTTAGGTGCTGTTGAGTTGGGGCCAACTCATAGCAACCCAATGTACAACAAAATCAAACACTGCTCAGTCCTGCACCAGCCCCACAACCCTTGCTATACCATCCTTGCAGCCACTTTATTAATCCATCTCATTGAGGGCCTTCCCCTTTTTCTGTTGACCCTCCACTTTACCAAGCATGATATCCTTCTCCACGGAATGGTCTCTTCTGACATGACCAAAGTAGGTGAGACGAAGTCTGGCCATTCTCGCTTCCAAGGAGGATTTCAGCTACACTTTTTCTGGGACAGATTTGTTCATTCTTCTGACAGTCCACTAGACTTTCAGTATTCTCCAACAACATCACAACTCAAAACCATCAATACTTCTGCTGTCTTCCTTTTTCACATTGTCCAGCTTTCACATACATGTGAAGTGATTAAAAACACCATGGCTTGAGTTAGGTGCCCCTTAGTCTTCAAAGAGCCATCTTTGCTCTTCAGCACTTTAAGGAAGTCAACTGCAGCAGATTTACCCAGTGGAATATGTCATCTGATTTCTTGACTGCTGCTTCCATGGGTGTTGATTGAGGAACCAAGTAATATGAAATGTTTGATAACTTCAGTCTTCTCTCCATTTATCTTGATGCTGTTTACTGGTCCAGTTGTGAGGATTTTCATTTTCTTTATGGTCAAGTGTAATCCATGCTGCAGACTGTAAGTCTTTAATCTTTATCAGTAAGTGCTTCAAGTCATCTTCACTTTCAGCAAGCAAGGTTGTGTCATCTTCATATCAGAGATTGTTAATAAAGCCTTTCTCTAATCCTGATGCCAAGTTCTTCTTCATATAGTCCAGCTTCTTGGATTATTTGTTCAGCATTCAGATTGAATACGTATGGTGAAAGGATACAACCCTGACACACTCCCTTCCTGATTTTAAACTACATAATATCCCCTTGTTCCATGTGAACAACAGCCTCCTGGTCTATGTCCAGGTTCTTCATGAGCACAATTAAGTATTTTGGGATTCCCATTCTTCTCAATATTATCCATAATTTGTTATGATCCATATATGATCCAATACCTTTCCATAGTGAATAAAACACAAGTAAACTTCTGGTATTCTTTGCTTTCAGCCAAGATCCATTTGTTATCAGCAAGAACATCCCTCATGCCCCATCCTCTTCTAAATTCAGTTTGCATTTCTGGTAGTTCTTAGTCAATATACTACTGCAACTTTGTTTTTTAATGCATTTTATTGAAATATAATTTATGTACAGTGAAATACACAAAACTAAAGTGACATGGGTCAATGCATTTTCCTTCCCCTCTCCTCCCACCCCTGGCAACCAACAAAGAAAGTTTCCCTCCATATATAAACCTGTCCTTGACCCTCCACAACAATGAGCTAATACTATATTTGTCCTTCTGTAACTGCCTTATTTCACTCAGCATAATGTCCTCCAAGTTCAACCACGTTATATGGTGTTATTCAGACTCTACATTATTCTTTAGTGCTGCATAGCATTCCATAGTTTGGTCATCCACTCTTCCGCTGATGGGCATGTAGGTTGTTTCCATCTTTTTGCTACTGTAAATAGTGCTGCGATGAACATGAGTGTGCATATGTCTGTTCCTGTTCTGGCTCTCACCTCTCTAGGATATATACCTAGTAATGGGATTGCTGGGTCAAATGGTATCTCCAGTTCCAGCTTTCTAAGGAATCATCATAATGCTTTCCACAGTGGTTGTATCACTTCACAGTCCCACTAGCAGTGAATGAGAGTCCCAATCTCTCCACATCCTCGCCAACATTTGTTATTTTCTGTCTCATTGAACCTTGCCATCAGTGCTGGGGTGAGATGGTATGTCACTGTTGTTTTGATTTGCTTCTCTCTGATGGCCAATGATCGTGAGCATCTCTTCATGTATTAGCTGGCCACCTGAATATCCTCCTTGGTGAAGTGTCTATTCATGTCTTCTGCCCATTTTTCAACTAGATTGTTAATCCCTTTGCTGTTGAGGCATTGGAGTTTTCTATAAATCTTAAAGATAAGTCCCTTACCAGATATGTAATTATCGACAAGTATGAATTTGTTGCTGTCACTTTTGTTATGTGTTTTTCATGGTGTTGATTTCTTTGTTCCATGTGATTTTCAATGCTGAGCTCATTTTGTTTATGAATTGTGTTATCACTTCCTTTGTTACTATTACTTTAGTGTTTGCTAAATGTTTGTGCTGGTCCTCTATTGTATTTTGATGTGAAAGTTTATCATTTTTCTTTGAGGTTACCCTGTGATTTATAGTTTTCTTCCCAAGTTTAGAACAGTCCATTCTCTTTAGTTCCATAGCTGGGCTGGTTTCTGAGTTATGTCATCACGTGTTAATGGTCAGTTGTTGTTGGCTATTGCTGCTCTCTGTTCAAAGGACTCCCTTTAGCTTCTCTTATAAGGTTGGTCTGGTTTTAACAAATTCCCTTAATTTCTGCTTATCTGGAAATGTCCTAATTTCACCATCATATTTGAGGGACAATTTTGCTGGGTACATAATTCTTGGTTGGAAATTTTTCTCTTTCAGGTTTTTATATATACCTTCCCATTGTCTTCTCGCCTGCACGGTTTCTGCCAAGAAATCCAAGCTTAGTCTTATTGGTTGCCCCTTGTAAGTAACTTTTCATGTTTCCCATGTTGCTTTCAGGATTCTTTCTGTGTCTTTGGTTTTGATAAGTTTGATGATGATATGTCTTGGTGTTTTTCTTTTGGGGTCTATCCTGTATGGGGTTCGTTGGACTTTCTGAATGGATTATTCTCATCTTTCATCATACCAGGAGAATTCTCTTCCAACAAATCTTTGACAATTTTCTCTGTGGTTTTATTTGTTTCTTCCTGTTCTGGAATTCCGATTACATGTAGGTTATTCCTTTTGATTGTATCCCCACATGAACCTTAGGCTTTCTTCATTTTGTTTTGATCTTTTTTCTGATTGATCGCTTTCCAGAGAATATTGAGGTATTTACCTTTAATCTCGCTAATTCTGTCTTCCATTGATTCAGTTCTACTCCTTTGCCCATTCAATGTCTTATCTATTTCTGAAAATGTAGTATTAACCTTCTGGATTTCTGTGTGTACATTTTGTATCATTTCCAATTTTTCATTTATTTTGTCATTTTGTTCTTATATTGTCTTTTGAAATTTTTGTAGGGTTTTCTCTGTGTTTCCCTCAATTTTGTTAGTGTTTTCCTTGATCTTTATCTCAATTCATTGAAGATACCTAAATATAACTGCTTTGAATTCCTTGTCAGGGAGTTCCAATGCTTCATCTTCCTCAGGGATATGTTTTGGATCTGTATCCTGGTCATGTGTTTCTCCTGCTTTATATTGCTTCTTTGTATGCACTGTGATGGTCTATTGTCTCCAAGGCATTGTGACGTTTTTGTGTTTATATTTAATTAGTGATTGTATATTGGAGTGACTTGCCCACGATTTTAGTTTTATTTGTGCTGTTTGTATGTTATCTACATAAGCAGGGTACTGTTCTGTGCTCCTCTGTTCACTAGATGGCAGCACTTATACACTCACGACCTGTCTCCTTTCCCGTTGTCAGCATCCCATATGTCCCTGTTGTCCATGGCAAACAAAGCCATTCTTAGGTCTGGAATCCGAATGAGAATGCTGTCACTTTAAAATCCAAGATGGCCACCACTTGTGAAGATTCAAAATGGCTGCACCCTCAGGCACATTAAATATCCAAAATGGCCATGCCCTCAGTCACTTTAAATATCCAAAATAACCGCCACTTGTAAACATTCGAAATGGCTGCATCCTCAGTCACTTTAAATATCCAAAATGGCCACCACTTGTAAACAATCAAAATGGTTGCACCTTCTGAATAGCGGGAAGTCCACAGCTCAGGTTGTCTCCTTCCTTGCTATTTCCCTTCCTAGTCATAGGCCATCATCACAGTCACCCCTGCAGCCCTTGGCAACCAGGGCTAATCTGTAGGTTAATTCTCAGGTCCCAATACCACTTGGAAATATTCAAGCTGTTGTTTCCATCAGAGTAGCAGACAATCCACTGGACCGAACGTCTCTGTACTCACTGTTTTTGTTCGTGTTTTTCCACTAGTTGGTGCCTAATCCACTTCTGTATACTTCCTTTCAAAACTCAGGGCTCCAGAATTATCTTCTGTATCTCTGTCAATTGGTTTCTCTTTTCTTTGTTGAAAAGGATCTGTGTAGCTTGTCTGCCTATTCCTCCATCTTACTAGAAGTCCCTCTGCTGCAACTGTTTTTGAATTATCTTCAGTAAGATTTTATCTGTGTGTGATATTAATGATATTGTTCAGTAATTTCCACACATTCTGTGGGATCACCTTTCTTTGGAATAGATAAAAATATGGATCTCTTTCAGTCAGTTGGCCAAGTAGCTGCTTCCACATTTCTTGGCATAGATAAGTAAGTACTTCCAGCACAGCATCTGTTTGTTAAAACATCTCAATGGATATCCTCTCAATTCCAGAAGTCTTGTTTTTTGCCAATTCCTTCAGTGCAGCTTTGACTTCTTCCTTCAATACCATCAGTTTTTGATCATACTCCACCTACTGAAATGAATAAACATTGACCAATTATTTTTGGTACAGTAACATTGTATATTCCTTCCATCTTCTTTTGATGTTTCCTGCATCAGTCAATATTTTGCCCACAGAATCTTTCAATAATGCAGCTCAAGTCTTGAATTTTTTCTTCAGTTTTTTCAGCTTGAGAAATGCCAAGCATGTTCTTCTCTTTCGGTTTTCTAACTCCAGATCTTTGCACGTTTCCTGAGAGTAACTGACTTTGTCTTCTTGAGCTGCTCTTTGAAATCTTCTGTTCAGCTCTTTTATCTTGTCATTTCTTCCATGTGCTTTAGCTACTCTCCATTCAAGAGCAAGTTTCAGAGTCTCTTCTGCCATCCGTTTTGGTCTTTTCTCCCTCTCTTGTCTTTTGAATGACCTTTTGCTCTCTTCATGTATGATGTTCTTGATGCTATCCCACAATTCATCTGGTTTTTGCTCACTGGTGTTCAATGCATCAAATCTCAGAAGGAAGATTGGGCAATCTACTTCCATAGAGATACCACCTTGGAAAGCCAAGGAAGGGTCAGAAACAACTTGATGGCAGTGAGGCCATGGTCATGGCCTCAAATCTATTCTTTAGACGGTCTCTAAATTCCGATGGGATATAATCAAGGTCAAGTTGGTTCTCGTGGACTTGTTTTAATTGTCTTCGGTTTCAACTTGAACTTGCATATGAGCAGTTGATGGTCTATTCCACAGTCAGCTCCTGGCCTTGTTTTGGCAGAAGATACTGAGTTTCTCTATCACCTCTTTGCATAGATGTAGTCAATATGATTCCTCTGTATTCCATCTGGCAAAGTCCAAATGTATAGCTGCCATTTATGTTGTTG